AAAAAAGAAGCTGGAAAAATGAAATTAAAAAGAAAGTCATTACTTTCAAAAATTACATTAAATATAATGAAACAGAATTCACTGTTTTTGTTCTCAGTAGAGTCAAATTAATGTATTTTGGCTTGAGTTTTCTTTTGCAAGGACTGAAGAATGGTGGATGATTCTTATTTGAGCAAGAAAACTTTGCCATTGTAATATTTAGACCTATGGGCCTGTAGGCAAGCAAGATGTAATTAACCACTTAGCTGCACTGAGTTACACTTATCTCCACTTCGCCTGTTTAGCTTCCCATAAGCACGCTAAGCACCTCTTTAGAATGCACTGACCTCTAATTATTTCTTGCTTTATGTATCCCTTAGCCCACATTGAAGAAATGAAAAATATTCCTATTGGTATGCAGTGCAGAATAATAAAACCTAGTTTTGTTTTATTTGTTCTGTATGCAGAATGAAATTTCGAAATCACTCTGTTCCCCAAAACTCAAAATGCAGTGTATAACGATTAAATTTCATGCTTTATCATGTAAAGTGACACCGAGTAAATTGTTTTTAAGTAGTGGGCTAAATTCTCTATTGCACTAGGGGGCAAAATCGCATTACCCAGGCTTTTGACTGTCACTTTACTAAGTTGTGAAAATTATAGCCGTGGCATGAGCTTTATTTTGACATCTTTCTGAAGTCATAAGATGCACTGGATTTGTGGGATTTTTACAGTGGAACCCTTGCATTAATACATCTATCTTAATAGCATTTGTGCCTTTCTGAAGTCACAGCATGTCTGGTAGAAATTCTGGCTTTACTGGAGTAAGTTTTAGCCTGGCAGTAATAGCATTATAATAAATGTCTTGGCACAAGAGCACCTAGAACCAAGAGGCAGAACCTAGTATGTTATATGTGTGATTTACTTTTCTCTAAGATTTGAAGGTTTATGCCTCATAAATATTTTTATCCAGTTTTTGTATGCATCAGTCTGAGAATATGCAAGTAAAGCCTAGCCTGCAGATTTCAGTTTGGAATACATTGCAGTAATTCCCACCAGGATAAGAAGAGAAATTATTCTAGAATTCACCTGTGAGTGGGAAGTCAAGAAGGAAGGAAAACCTTTAACATTAAGCAGATGGACCTCCCTCCTTTTTTATTGGATATTTGGGATGCAAGATAATCATCTCCCCAGATACTGGAAAGGATAGACATGATTTGTCATATCGAAAGAATAAAGTTTAAGACCTAGTTTATGAAGTAACTTTAGAATGGAAAGGAGACATTTTTGTATTCTCAACTCCCCATCACAGGCCAGGCTGCAGGAGCTGCATCTTAAAGAGTTCACAGAAGCAACTGTGAACTACAGAGCTGCAAGCCACAGACCACTTCTTGACACAGTGCTACTTTAGTCTGATATTTACATCTGGTTTCAAAACCTACAGTCTACCAAAGGAGAAAACAGGAAAGGCCATGGACTCTGCTAATGTCTTAATTCCTAGATTCTTGAGATATATCTGGAAACAGAACATACAGGAGCAAAACAGGCAGCAAGACCTACTGGTGTCCTCTTTTTGGGCTGATTCTGGGAGAGAAATTTTGCTCTGATCAACTGAAACTTAAATCCAGCCCATTTCACCTGCATTTGCGAGGAAAGGGAAAAGCATTCCTGTCCTCAGCCTCAGTATGGAACCGATATTTGGGAATTCAAAGCTTTTGAACTGTGAAGGAACATGTGATTTGAAGCACATTGTTTAATTTGCTTTCTAAATTTTTTTTTTAAAAAAATAGTAATGCGTTCTTTCTTGGCAGCCTTTCTCTGTTAAATAGATTTTCTGGAGTAAGAGCTGTCTTATTCAAAGTTCTGTATAGAGATCATCTGATGTGTCTCTGATCTCAGCTGCTAGTGTAATGTAAACACATGTTGCTTTACTATTACAAAGTTTTGGTCTAGTTTTTTTTTAAACGTTTTGTGCCAAGCTTGTTCTATCCCAAATGAACGAAGAAGCAGCATTTTGAATGAAAGCGATAGCAGAAAACCAACATATTCTACAAGTCCCAAACTTCTGGTTGGGAGTTTCTGTGTCTGAGGGTTGCAGTTCCCTCCAGATCAGGTTTGAGACATGGACAAGAAGCAATAGAAGAAAGGTAGAGAGATGACACAGTTTAGGGGTCTTTGCTGGCTCTAGGTGGTATCTGGAAGGAAGTTGCCATTCTCTTTTCCTTCTCCTCCTTGTTTTTATTACAGTATGAGGCACAGTTGATCTGTGTTTGTGCCTTCTTCCTGCCACATATGCACAACATCTGCGGTTAATAAGAATCTGAGAGGAGGTGGTTCTTTCTCTTTCCTTTATCCTTTAGATAATACTTATTCTCCCTCCCCTTCCTTCTGGACATACAGAGGAACGAGGGAGGGAATCTAGGCTGATTTATGCTTTTGCTTTCATGTACAGCTGTATGTGTCTGAGAATATTACAATTAGGTCCCTCTCTCCTGACCTTTCTCTAAAGATCCCTCATATTTTGTGGTTCCCAGGCTTCTCAGACAGAAGTAGGATAATAGGCCTGTGATCTATTTCTGCTTTAGCTACTTGCAGGTTTTGGCCAACAGCAATGCTGACCAGCTGCTCCTTGTTTTGCGGAGTTCCTGCTGCAACTTTGAGCAACAGGAAAAGAAGCTTCATTCTGAAGTGTTACAAAACCAGTGGTAGTTGTTTTTTTTTATGAGCTTTTTAGTACCAAGTGCAAAATAGATGTAGTTTCAGAAAATGCTATCATCAATTTCATCCCAACTTGCCTCAGCAGAAGCAGCAAAACCAGGAGTCTTGTGGGATATTGATTCTCTGGTTCTGTGTAATAGGTAAGTCAGATGAGGTTGTACCTATATGCAGAACAGCATGGAGTCACCTTATTATATTTGGGGCTGTGTGTCCCATTTCACTTGGCCGTTCACTAAACAAACACTTGCTAAGCTTTCTCTTCAAGAAACAAAACAAAACAAACAACATAACATCAAGTGCAATCAATTGTTGAAGTTCTTAAATTGATAAATGTAAGTGAACTTGTTTTGTTTGTTTACTTAGATTTTCTCGCTTCCACATCCGTGGGGGTGCTGTGTTCTAAAATACGCCCTACGTGATGAGGTAAAGCTGTAAGTGTTGCACACTGATGCCTCCCAATGACCAACTGAAAGCAGCACACTACGTATGTTTGTAAAGCTTTTCCCCTCCTCTCAGCCATAATGTCATCATTAGATCATCTTTTAAGGAGCTATTAAATGTAGCCTCCAGCATCCAGCAAGTATCTTTGTGTTAAATTCTCATTTGATGTTGTACAGTGGTTTCATATGGATCTAGCGCAGGCAAACAGCTGCATCACTTTAAGATGCTTGGATATGGAGCCAATAGCTTTTGTACTTTTAACGCAGTATTAAGCATTCTGAGGAAGTTGAAATAATATCAAGAGTAATGTCAAATTGAAAATAGAATCATTGGAAATGTTAATATATATAAAAATCCATTTACTAACTTGTGATACCCAACAAAATCTTAAATCTTCTGTTGTCTGAAGAGCAAGTTTTGTTGTTTAAGGAATGTATTCTCATTTAGAGGGCTCTCATAGTTTTAACAATAATATTCTTCATATGCTCCTACCTCGTTTTTTTGTATTTCTTCTCACACAACTGTATTTAAATATGGCCACAATAATCCAACTCATTTTTGGATGCCAATTAAAAAAATAAATCTATTTTAAGGGACTACCTAAAAACCCAGGAAGTAGGCATCACCTTCCTGAGACAGTGTTTGCAGTTCAAGGTCAGACAATTGATCTTTAACCCACTGTACGTAGTTCAAAGTGGTTGTTTAGCACAGGGGTTGTCTGCTAATATAGTGGTTTTTTTTTGCTTTTATTGGTGGAACTTAATGAGATTACATATATTTTGGTGAATAATTGCTGCCATGTAAGCTTGCCACCTACCTACAGTGACTCTTATGAATATTTGATGATAATAAGTAGTAGGAACTCTACTGTGATCCTCACATGCACTTAAAAAGAAAAAAAAACCAACAAGGCAGCACAGGAATAGCTTTTGTTCTGCTCTTTTGCTTGCAGTAAGCAGTGTGACATTCATATAAGTGCTATTAGACATATCTAACGTGTTTCTCAATACTAGCAGTTTCATTTAAGCCATAATTTTATTCATTCAGCATGGGAAAGCTGCAGGGTGGAAGATGCAATTTTTATCATCTAGATTTCTTTTTTAATGTGAGGTAGTTAGACTAGCTAGTCTCATGCTTGTAGCTGTGAATTTACAGTTGAGAAAATATTATTTTGCAGGTGCAGCAGTTTTTATAAAATCTAAAAATAATATATGTAGATCAACAATCTTGCAGATTTCTGTGGAAAGTCTTTGGCCCGTTTAGAGTTGCCTATAAACCTTATTTACCTCAGCAGTGCTTTACTGTCATGTTGCACATTAAGCAACGTCTGTCAGTAGTCAGTAGCAAGTGCTACTGTTTGTCATTCCTTCAACTGGGCTTTTTCTTTTTTTTTGATATGCAGTATAATATATGTTTTTCACCTTGTATGTTGTTTCAAGATGTTTTTGCATGGAGCTGTTACTAAAGTCAGATTACCTATGTAGTCACCTTGGATTCTGATGCTTGGTTTTGCTAGCACGTTTGAAAACAAACATCACTGCTCTATTACAAGCTTGCTGTACAGACCACATTCAAATCACAGGCTGACATTTCTAAGTTGCTTGCTTAATTTATATATTTTTCTTTTTGTTCCAAAACTTGCAGGGGCTGCTACACAGCTATATTTTTTCCATGCTGAAGTGGTGATGACAGCAGTGACAGTTTTGACATTCATAGTTATTTGAGCTTTTTGTACATGAATGATCTTGTATAGTAATTACTTTTTCCCATAGTCCTGTGCGTTACGCATGTTAAAGTTCATTTATGCTACTGTAGTATTTTTCCTGAAAAGCAGGAGTTCACAGAAATTCTTTTTCTTTCAGGGAATCAGTTTCCTCCTATTGCAGCTCAAGATCTTCAGTTTGTTCTGAAGGCTGGATATCTGGAAAAACGCAGAAAAGGTCAGTTTAGCTGTCTTTGAGAAAATCGTTTAGTGTGTAAGTCGTGTTTGGAGGTTCTGTGTGCCAGTATTTGTAGTTGTACATGCAAATAACTTCATACAGAGTGATAAATAAAATGGAACAGCAGTTGAAATGTAGAATCATTATTATGCAAAAGAAAGAAGAGTGCATAATTGCTCCTGTGTTGTTAAAAGATGCTCCCATTTCTTTGTGGACTGAAAAAAAAATCATGCTGTGAAAGTCCAGCGTCAGCCATAATTCAGAGACTTTCAGATATTTTTGAAGAAAACATTGGGAATTTATGTAAAAGTACCATATGTTGGCTTCATGTTTCAGTGAGCATCAAGATTTATTTTCCTTCAAGAGGACAAATATTGATCTCAGCTTTGCTTCAGTCAATATTTACCTTGATTCAGTAAATCCTATACTGTCACCTCAATAACCACTTAATGCTACAATAACTATAGGAATTATTCAGGAAGTTGTTAATAATTTCCTTATATTTAATGTTACACATGCCTTCACTCTCTATATGATTTCAAATTCCCGTTTGTTTCCACTACCATCTATTATTTCTAGCTTTTTTCTCAATTCCATACATGTCTTCTCCATATCCAGATAATGTTTTCATTACCTAGCACTCTTCCTATCTCTTTCCCTCTTCCCTCACCTTTGAAAAGAAGTAACGTATTCATGTTCAGTAATGCCATAAAGAAATGTAACATGAGTTATATTATTTGCAGACCACAGTTTTCTTGGCTTTGAATGGCAGAAGCGTTGGTGTGCTATCAGTAAGACGGTTTTCTACTATTATGGAAGTGACAAAGGTAATTATAAGAATAATGATAAACTATTAAAATAATATTTTTATGAACAAATGAATATGAAAGCTTCAGTTGGAGTTGGTAACTGAGAAACCAAGGTTATTCTTAGAGAGCAGATGAAACTTTTAGAAGATTTGTTTGTTTGTTTTGTGCTTTGAATTTTAAAAATGTATAAATATGGATACTCTCAGGCTCTGTAACTGATTTGCCCGTTTTTTAAAGCAGGTAAACTGAGGAAAAAGGTTTTAGTTATTTGTAAAGCTACTTGACATGCCAGTAACAGCTGGCTATTAGGCTTGATAATACTCCGGTTCTTAATTAATCTACTAGACAGCAAAGACTCTTTTTGTCTAAATGGGATTTTCATTTTAAAATACCCTACAGCAATTACACCATCTGATTCTTTAGAGGTGGCTCTTTCGAGGAAAATGCTAGTGCTAAAAACACATAGTGGTGTACCATGTTTATTTCTAAATTTCATTCTGGAAATGAAGTAATATATCAAATTAAAAGCCAGTTATGGAGACTAGGACTAGTTTCTGCAGGTGAGTTTGGATGGCCATTTTTGAAAGAATATGGCATAAAAGTTGGAATATCACTTTGAATTTTAAAAATCGTCAGTGAAACAAAGCATCCTTTAAATTGCAGGCAAAGCATATTTTGTATTTAAGGGTAAGATATATGATATAGAATTAACACATGTGCAGGTTTTAAAAGTTCGTTCTTTTTTCCCCAAAAGAACTTATTTTTGGACAAACTTTCAATTTGAGCTTTTTTTTCTTCTGCGTTTGTTTGTGCTACTCCCCTTGAGATTAATGCTGATAGTCTTTTCATATGTTTTTAATTTGATTCAGTTTTTAGTTTGTTCCCTTACTGAGTTTGCTGACTCATTTAAACTCATTCCCTCTTTAAAAAAGGAGAATTAACTTAAGGGTCTAATTGTTTATCATGTATTTTGGAGGTTAAGTCCAGTTTTCATCTTGCTACAGTTTCCTCTCAAATTCTGTTTCCAGAGTTTTGTTACTACATCTGCTGTTTGTTCCCTTATAAATCTTTGGCTTTTCATCTGCTAGTTCTTGGTCTTTGGGTTAAGGTGGGAAAATACCATTTCCCCCTCTTCCATGCATTTTCCTTTTGCAGTGGCTTCTGTGTTGTAATTTCTAATATCTATACTGAAAGATAAGGCACATGGAAACATGTTCCACAGCATGAGGTTTGAGGTTAATGGGTTTGCGTCGTATTAGGAATTGACTGAGATACTCAGAGATAGCTTTTCTTTTTTGATCTACAGGCAAATGCTTTGGTTTATACATTTCCAGCTTCAGTTGTTTGGGGAAGATCCTCCTAACCATACCCTAATGTTGTGGGAGGAATTCATGGTCCATGGAGCATCTTTTAGGAGTTGCATAGACATAGACTCTGTGGCTAGCTCACAGAGGAAGCAAACAAACCACATACATTCTGTGCCTCCATCTGATAGATTCCAGAGCTGATTCACACAATGGAAATGGGAAAATTCCACTTTTGTCAACGTGAACCTGGTCTGAAGAGAGATGAGCAGAGGAGAGGTTCCATATATGCGTACAGTCATGCTATGTGTTTAATGAGTAATGTAAAGTTGTGCGTTGGGGAATATAATGCAGACAGGTAGCAGAGATTTCTACTTCTTGTTTCATCTTGTGCATGTTTTTTAAATCCAGGACATGTAGACCACTAATCTGTGAAGGATAGTTTTTATCTGGTGAAACATATATTTTGTAGGCCAAGTTTGAGATTATAAGCATCCTTATAACAGTCCTGATGTCTGTTGACTAATATGTCTTCTTCCCCTTTTTCTTCCTACATTTTCTGGTACTTTTGGTGCAGCACTGGATCATGAAACAGTGTTACTTATCTCTGCAATATAGATAAGTTTAAGCAAATCGCCTACGCTTCTATTTCCTGATCAGTGATGGAGAAATCTTGGTTTGTGGTTCGACTTAGAAGTCCATATTGCAGGAAACGCATGTGTTTTTGCACTTGTGCTGCAGTATCTATTGTCAGTGTGTGGCCCACAACACTGCAGAAAAGCATGCTGAAATATCAGAGCTGACTTGGATTTCCAGAAGCTTGCCTGCTCCTTACTTTAATAGTCTTTTCTTCCATAAACATTTACAGGCCTTCTCTTCTTTGAGCTCAGGCACCTAGGTGGTATGACTAGTCCTTCAGACATAAAAGTGCACGACCAGGAAAGTTGATCTAAAAGAATGACCTAGCAGCCACAATTTTATATGCCCTTCTCAGCAAACTGAAGCTACATGTTTAGGAAGGCAGTAATTGATAAATGAAAATGACAATGAAGTCTTGATTATCCTTTACCACCTGCACTTCGATTTGTAGTGCCAATGTAGTAGCATTGGCATAGGAAGGAGAAAATAGACTCATTATTTCAATTTTTTCACAAAATTGTTTTTATTTTTAACTACTAGAATTTGATTTTCTGTGGCTACAGAATTGTAATAGTTGTGAATAAAGGAAGATGCTGCTGTATTTTTTCTTTTTTCCTCTTAGCCTATTCAGAGGGTAGTGTAACTTAAAGCATTTTCAGGCTGTTAAGTTTATGGCTGTTTCTTCAACGTTTACTGATATCTTGGTGCTTCATAAGACCTGCATTGCTTTGTAGGTTTATTGAGTCCTCTGGGACAACTTTCTAACTCAGTGACGTGCATGTTTGGACTTGAATATAAGCAAACTGCTGCCCTAAATAGTATCTTTGCCTCAATTTTTTCTTTCTTTTTCTTTCTTTTTTTTTTTTTTTACTTTAGATTTCTCAAGTGAGAAAATAAAAAGTCTGTTGCATTTCAGGTTTGCTGCCTATAAAAAAATAATTGCTGTGCGCGCACTTGGAAAGACTTATTCTAGAAAGCTGGAAAAGGAATTACCATTTTGAGATACTGACGTGCTGTTTTTAGAAAGTGTATGGAAAAGTATGCAAAACTACATTTAGCATGAAGATATGTAAACTGTAAGATCTTACAGGCTCCTAATTTCAAGATGAAGAGAGTTAAATTATAGATTCTAATAGTATCTATAAATACTTTATAACTCTCTGAAATCTTTCTGTTTGCCTTTGTTCCTTATGCCTTTCTCTGTAACTTCTTTCCTTTCCAATCTCCAAGTCCTCTCTGTTCTACAGAGTGCACTAATTCTTTTTACATGTGCTAATAATATGGTCACAATGCCTTAGGCCTCAAATTTACAACCCAATCATTTCAAGACTCAGTTGAAGGTTTACCCTCCTTTGTTTCAAAAGTTCCCATGGACTCAGCTCAGTTACGCAAGGCTACTTCAAAACGCTTTTTGTTTGCTTCCCTGGAGACTCCCTTTTCCTAATGTAATATTGGTCCTGTTTCCATTGTTAACAGTATTTCACTTTTTCCTTTTTAAGATACATGAAGTTTATATGTAATATTTAAATTTAGGAAAACATTTAAGGCGGCTCTCAAATTTCATTCAGATCTGTATTTGTTCTACTTTAAGTATTGCCCCATAAACTTATTTTTCTCTAAAATGTTTGTCCTAACTTTGACTTATTTTAGTGCTTAATTCCTGACTGTCCGCTCTGTTGTACAAAGTTTTTACAATTCAGAATTTCTGAGGCAAAATGGAACGCACAGACCCAGATTTATTTATTTATTGATTCATACCTGATATAGAGTGAAGAGAAGCGGATGAGAAGATAAGAGTAAAAAGCAGCTTATTCTGAAATGAGATCTGACCTAATGGCGGAAAAACTTTTGCCTACTGATACTTGTGTTCCTTCTTGCTATTACGAAACTGATCAAATTATATTTTTGCATTGCTGTTCTATTTTGCTCTGCAACAACATGAGGGTTTCCTGTGGTTGAATTGCAAAGCCCTATTTTGAGAAAATAAATAAAAAAAAAGAAGAATGTTATCCTTCTGTGGAGAAGTGCATTCCGTTCATATGTTTCTCCCCAGTCCCTCCCTAATATGCTGTTGAATTCCTGTCTGAGGAAAAACTCTGGTACTAATTTGGAGACTCAAAGTGAAAGTGACATCTCAGTAGTGTAAATAGGCTTCCTGAAGCTACGGACATTTAAAGCTCTTGCCATTCGGAACTAGTATATCTAATATTTGGTCTCCAAGTAAAATCTTCAGGTCTTTAAAGTTTTTAAACATCAAAAGCTGTTATACTCTCAGTGAAGTACAGTGTCCTGAAAGTATTTGTGATATAAACATTTTTTGAATGGGAAAGTTCATTGAAGGCACACCTGCTCAGCTGCAAGCATTTCCTAAGAAATGAAGTCGAGGTGGTCATCAAGTATGATAATCACAAGATAGCTCTGCATTCCAGCCCACAGCTGAATACTGTGCCTGGCCAAACAGCTGCCATGTGTCACGATTTGCCCCACGGCTGTTAAGTCACACGGTTTGTCTCCAGTGCCTCCTTGAGAGGTCTATTCTACAGGAGCAACTGGGATTTGTAAGCACCCACTGTCTGTCATCATCAGTGGATGCAGCTGGGTGATTTACTGGCCTCTGTCCTCCTACTTGGTACTTGTGAAGCTACTTCTCAGGACATACTGGGTCTTTGGTTTGTTGCTACAGGGACTGTAAATGCATACTGAGTCTTTCTCCCAACTTTGATGGCCTTATGGTTGGGGCTGTGAAGTATCACATGGTCTTGAAATTTCCTTATGGTCTTAAGGAAATTTCCTTAATTTTCCTTAAGTATCTTAAGCACTTATGCAGAGCTACACTGGGCTTTTATCAGGGGCACCTTACTGCATAGGTAATTAGAAGCAAAAGTAGCAAAGATATGACTAGTCTGCTGCCATAAAGTGCAGTGAAAGAATTCAATAGCAAAGGAAATACAATTCTTTTTGGTGTATGCAAGTGATTTTCATTGGAATGGCATATCCTGAGAGATAAGAAAATAGACAATGTAAACAGGAAAATGAACAAATACAATGTGGATACCATGCACTGTGCCATTCTTCTGGTATAAAGTATAACACCTTTCAGTTTTGATTTTAATGCTCTTTGAAAGAACTGTACCAGTGCACAGATAACTCAGATTAACTCTTAAAAATTATGGTCTCTTAAAAGGGATCGTCTGTGTCACAGGGAAGTATTTTTGGAAATATTCCAAGTAACTAAATTTGAATACTTGCCTAATTTTTATCTTGACAAAATGTTATTGCCTTTTGAACCTGATGCTTGTTTATTCTGTCTGTGTTGCTCCTATGTTATTGGGATTTACTATGGGAGAGTGAGAAATTAATGTGCTCCACTTCATCTTCTTCTTGAGGTCACAAGTGAAGGAACAATAAAATTTCTAGGCTGAAATGAATTTCATTAAAAGGAGATCTATTTAACCTATTGCAAGTTATTTTTAATATCTGCCTTTGTGGGATTCCATGAATTTTGCATCTGTGTCCTGATTGATGTAGGGGTGGAGAAGTGAGCAAATAAAAAGTATCAGTACTGAATCTTACTACATAATGAAGAAAACTTACTGTTACAGAAGGGGCTAGAAAAAGGAAATAAAACAATGCTCTGGATTTGCTCATGTAATTTTTTAATTTGCTGTTTCCTTGCCCTGGGTGAGAATTAAGAAAGAGGTGGAAGAAAGCACAATGTAAGATTGCTAAGAAGAGTATTTGTGTAGGAACTCCCTTACTTTCACTCATGTTTGCGTTGCTGTTTGCCATGTTTTGCCCCTTCAAAAATTTTGGTTTTTTTCCTATTTTATCTGTCTATAGAAGCTGTCTTCTTTTGTTGAAAAACTTGAGCAATGAATCCTTCATTTGCTTCTGTTCAGCAGTAGTCAGAGTGTTGTTGTGTCTAATGCTTTTTGTTAGTTAATGCATTCCCCTTCTGTGTGGGGGAAAAAAAACCAAAGCAGTATAAAGGTGTATATAATTTTCATTTACATCTGCACTTTGTTCTGGGACACCTGAGAAAAATGTGACTGGTGGTGCCCATATTAGATTGAATGCTGTATTGTGATCAGCAGAACTTGCAAAAACAACTTACTTCTGCTTTTTTTGTTTTCTTTTTAATATCCACCAAAACATGCCTTGGTTTAAAGTGCTCAGAAGCACACAGGTGCTACTTGACCACCACGCAGAATATTTACCTCAGGCCTATGCTAAGTGTTACTTTTATAAACCAGAACCCTTAAAATTGAAAAAGTAGAATTGTCTTTAAAGCAACCACATGGCTCTACGTAATAAACTGTGGTAGGGCTCAGTGCTTTTATTAGCTAATTAAACTGTGTTGAGAAAAATGCTTTGGGAACACACACCTGAATTTATAACAGAATTCATTCTGTACTTCTACCATGTGGAAAGGAAGCGCATCTGGGAGTGAGTGGGAAGAAAAGCTTTTTCAATTGCTTAAAAAGGAGCTTGAAGTTTATTTTTTTAAGTAAAGTGGTTAGTTTAGGAGGGAGCTCAGCAAGCTCTCAGCTAGGTGGGTTTTCCCATTGGCTTACTGAACCTGAAAGAGACACTGATTTATAGGAAGCGTGTCTCACAAGTTCCAGTTCTTTGGCTTTCCCTAGGTACAATTGTCACGACATGCACTTCTTGCTAAATAAGACCACCATCTGCAAGTATTTCTCTGTGGAATTCTGTAGTCATCCTACAGAAAACTATACTTTTGTGTACATCTTCCTTTAAAGTAAAGCTTTATCTCCAGAAGTACCACCTAATCATTTTGCTAAAAAAAACCCACCCCTGTTCTTTGTAAAATTCATGAAATGGAAAACCAAATCTGAATAAACGATAACCTGCTAAGCCACTCGCATTCACTGTTGTAAATGAAGCTCTACCTTTGTTTTTTATCTCCAACAGACAAACAACAGAAAGGTGAATTTGCCTTAGAGGGCTACACCATCAGAATGAATAATAGCCTTCGGAAGGACGCAAAGAAAGATTGCTGTTTTGAAATCTCCGCTCCTGATAAGCGCATTTATCAGGTTGGACTTTTTATGTCAACTTGAAATTAAATTGATAAAGCCGTTACAATTCCAGTTACTGAATTAACATTTCAGTAAAACAACTTCCACTGACATCTTAATAAAAAAAGGAGATCCTTGCTTGCTTATACTATATATTCGTATATTAGGGAAAAAAATCTAATTAAAAAAATATATGTATGCATTCAAATACTATCATTTTGGACAAGAACAGGGAAATCTATCATCTTTATCTTCGTCGTTTCAATGTTAGTATTTTAATATCATATAGTATGTCTGTATTATTTCTTGGATGAATTAAGTAGTGGAAATAAAAGTTAAACAAAATATCTATCAGTGTTAAATACGTATTGTATTGGTCATGGCTTTGCCAAGTATATCTGCTTAAAGGCACATATCAGCTGTGCAATTCAGAGATCTATCAGCTAGACATCAATATGGAATGTAAGTTTAATAAGTTTTAAATATCTGAGATTGCAGTTGAAAGCCAGTTAATTAAGCTGTCAGGTAGTGTGTTGGAGTCTGACAAGAACATTTTTAAGAAAACTGTACCCAGCAGTCTAAAGAAATTCATGGGTGTCTTCTAATTGTCAAGGGCAAATTTTGTTCATCAGTTCTGGCTTTGACATTGATGAAGAGAAGCAGCTTTTTTTCTGCACAGCTGCCAGCTGCTGATCAGAGTTTCAAATCCATCATCCTCTCCTTCAATTACGTAAATTTGTCAAAATTAGCTTTACATTATAAGAAGCATCCTTGCAAGAAAAGTACCAGAAGACATGCAAAGAATTACTAATGGTTTCTTGAGGAAGTGGCGAGAATGCTACAGACCCTTTTTTTATTGCTAATGAAATTGTAGTTATGTTTTTGTCATTACTACTACTCGTTATTGATAAACAGTTTATTAATTTTTATTATTAATAGTTTACAGCTGCCACTCCCAAAGAAGCAGAGGAATGGGTACAGCAAGTGAAATTTGTAATTCAAGGTAAACCAGCCAGAAAAGCCATATCCTTTATTATCAATACTGCTTAGTGATGGTAGTGCTATCCATTAACAGGCCTGTCACGTTTGTATCTCTCTTATTACTACTTATCCAAGTTTTGAATAGCAGCTCCTGGTTCTCAGTCATCTTGTGGCTTTTACACGACTTTTCTCCTTATGCAATATATTTGCTTTTCCTTCCAATAATACCATACAACTTGAAAACTTTGTTATGAGTGTTTTAAGAAAATAAGCAGAATGTACTGTAAGAACCAGCTTGTAAAATGAAACAAATTATGTTTTCATTTTGAATGAATTTATCTTAGTTTTCTTATTTACGAAACGTTAACTTTGCTTTTACATAGATATGGAATCTAATACTATTCCTGAGGAAGAGGAGGAATATGATGATGTTGGACATGCAAGCAGGGAGCCAATAGATGACAGCATTTATGAAGAACTTCCAGGTATTGTTGAGATTTTTTTTTTTACTTTATGCCTTGTGATAATTTTGTCTTCTCTGCTTCTAGTTTGATAACCTGAGTGGATAAAGCAACCTGATAACTAAGATACATATTTAATTTTTCTGTGACATTAGATATGTCTTTAACCAGATCTTAGTGAGAACAGTTCAGTTTTCTTTAGCAGGGGCATCAAAGTTGTGCAGAAAGTGTAAAGGTGGTCTTGAGGGACTTTTAGCTCATTAACATTTTCTAATATGTAATTTTTTTTTTTTAATTACAAAATTGACTTGCCTTACAGCTTTTTCTACCACCTTGCCCATCATTTTCTTCGCTTTGTTTTGCTATTTATATTAGGCAAAAGTTTTCTATTACTACAGCTGCTGCCCAATACAGATTTTATGATCTTGCAAGAAAGCAATATGTTGGTTTGAAGGGGCTCTGGAGATGAACTCTAAATAAAGACAACTTGAGTACTGACATGCTTTGTTTCATATCTTCCTGCATGACTATGGTGTGACAGACAAGATTGTAGTGTGAACAGCTTTTGAATTGATTATAGGTGTTTAAGTGATAGGAAGAAGGTGTTTGATCTTTTTTATATTTTAAGAAGCTATTTTAGAAGTTACTATTCAGCCACCATTAGTTAACAAATAATTTAAAATGGTATGACAGTAATCACTTGCATGACACAACATTCTGCATCCCTTGCTGTTTGAGTCAGTGCAATTATCAGCAGCTAACGTGAGAGAAAAATCCTGTAAGGTCACATGATGCTGACTAACTTTATTTATCTTCAGGATTGAATATTCTGTCTATGGGAGGCAAAAAAAATAACAACCACCCAAACATTTGTATGTTTGTCTTGATTTTCATTTTAAAGTTGGTTCAATGAATTGTGAGAGAAGAAAACATGAGAGACTTACTAAAAAAAATTCAAAACTACTGTATAGAATTGGGAAATTCTATGGGGAGAGCTTCTGCAGTGAATATACAATCTATGTTAGGTGGCTTAATCTTGTAGCAGGAGTAATGTACCCAAACACTGCAGTGCTTTTTGGATGCTCAGGCTCTTACAGAAGATGATCCTTTATGCTTGCTTATGTTTTCATTAAGGAAGCTCTACACATGTTCTGGATAATTTTTTTCCTTCTTTCCTGAGATTTCAGTTATGTTACCCATTTGTTTGAATGTCAAACAGGAAGTAGGTTTTACAGCAGTAACATTAAATATTGGTGGAGGAAAAAAATTATTTACCCCCCCCCATGATCTTGGAGTTTTTCATTTTCATGCTGTGGATTAGGGGTTTACCTTCCCTATTTTGTGCCTTCTCCATCTTTTTTATTTTAATTGTAAGCTTTTCAAGAAGTCTTACTTTCTACAGTGGAGCTCAGAATTTTGGCTGTGATGTGTTGATATAACTAGAAAACAAAAAGAAACTTGCTATAGATTTTGAGTGACAATAATCTGTTTTTCTCTCCCATAAATGTACTTCAAAAGTCATTTGCTAAATGGCAGTAAAAACTAATGTTTCTGTTGCCCTAAATCAATCTTTCACTTCTTTATCCTTAACATATTGAAGGGCATTAGATGAAGTGCTAGTGGACAAATCTCACAGGAATAGGCCTTACTTGCTTCTTGTTATTCCGTTCACTTAAACTGATAGTAAAAGAGTATACTCCACTTTGGTCTCAGCTGGCTTCATTGATGGTAGGCTTTTAATTCCCACTGACTGTCCTTTTTATTTTCCCAGTAAGTGAATGTATTCTTTCTTCCTTTCATAGTCAAAAAGTGGAAGTCCATTATCCTTGCTGTTAGTTCACTTTCTAATCCAGAGCAAATAAGAATTTCTGAATTCTTATAGCTTTCAGTTCCCTTAATAATTTCTTGTAGAGCCCAAAAGCCATGCTAAACTCAGAAGGCACATGCTAGGTCCTTGTGAGAAGGAAGAAGAAATGTATTTTCACTTTGTATTGATCCTCAAAGCATCTCGATATTAGGTCCACTAACTTTCCATGCAGCAAAACTTTAAAGTCTTGTACTTCAGGTACGCAGCTCTTTGTACCTTGTCATTATTTATCTGACTTAATTTGCCATTTCTCAAGGAGTCAGTTGCATAGTCTAGTGGGTTTTTTTATATCAACATTTCAAAGCAAATTGAACCAGTTCATAATGGAGTCAATTTTGTAATATTGGGCTTAGTATTACAATAAGGAGTGTTTGGATTAAAGAGAGGATATGTGTATTTTCTCACTATTTTGAAAAAATGAGTATTTTGAAGCGTAGCAGTAATCAGAATGGGCTGGTGCAGTACTCACTACTACCGCATTGCTTTTTGCCCCCTCATCTCTCATGTAGCAGTAGACAGTGTAGAAAAATGAATTTTCCAGACAAGAGCTCACTAGTTTCAATCCAGTAATAGTAATAGTCTATTACCTATTAAAAGCTTAGATTTCAATGGAATTCAATTTGTACTGCTTACTAGCAGAAGAAATGGGCTGGTAGTTGCAGACGGTACAAAGACAGGTGGAAAAATTAGTCTTTATCTTTTAAATCACTTTCTTCTTTAATAGCACATACAAATTCATATTTACTAGAAGCATCATTTGCCTGATTCTCAGTCAGTGTGTTTTACTATATTTATTTATGTGGAGCTTAAAGCATCAGAACTGCTAAAGCTTTTCCAACTTTTAAATCTTCCTTGTGAGATTCTTTAGGGGGATAAAGAAAAGCTTTATACTTTTTCCAACAAACTAAACCACTGTTTAATTTTAAATAAAAGTGCATATGGAAAATATAGTTGAACAGAAATAAAAATATTGTCAGTATTTTGGGCTCTTAAAATTAGCCATTGATAAAATAGCTCTTAATTAGCTATTTATTTTCTTCTTTAGTACATGGTTTTGACATGGCAATTATTTATTGTGGTCCACTCTGTGGTCCATATTATGGTCCACAGAACTGATTCTTTGTAACACAAAATAACTTCTCAAACTCTAGTGTTAAACCATGTTATATATGTGCGTAGTTATATCTGAATGCACAGTCTTTAGTTTAGTGGTGTTTAAGAAAAAACTACAGAGTTGCTCTTCTCAGAAGTTAGTTGTCATTTTTCAAGATTTTGTCTTTTCTTATCACTCCTGAAGACCAAATTTCTTTTAATAACCTGATCTTAGTGACTTAATTTTTAAGGCCCCTCTCTCCTTCATTCTTTGGTCTTACATGTGTGTAGACCACGTGCATGAAATTGCAGTACTAACCACTGCCTGCCACCGTGATCCTTTCTGAAAAATCGGTTGTGTTCTTTCTATAACAGTCTTGCACAATAGGAGGACAGCAGTCTTAATATAAGCTCTCATCCTTATATTAATTTTCAGTCTTGTGTTATTTTTTTCAGTTCTCATTCTGCTTGCAAACTTGCAGGATAGTAGTAGTTTCCAGTGCATACAGTATAGCTTCCACCAAAATGATTCTAAAGATAGGGTTTGATGATCTCTTTGGTGCTTCTTGGTAAGGTTGGATGTCTCAAGTGATGTGGTGTAGTACAAATCTGAAATTTCTGGCTTTGCGTCATTTAATTTTAACCTGTCCAAAAGATAAAGAATATTTGGGTAAGAGGACAGTGAAATTCAGTGCCGTCTAGCCAGGGGAATTGCTGTGGGGAACTAATCCAGCCAACACAACTTGCGTCAGTCCCTACTTGGCTGTAGATTAAATTTTGGGATTGGTTCAGTGTTTGACTGGGACAAGGATCATGGGACTGAAAAGCTTGCCTTTTTTCTTTTAACTCTCATAATCATTCCTCTGCCAAATAGTTTGATCAAGCCACAGTATCTGGACAGTAATTCTGTTTTGCAGTGCAGTTAGAAGCTTAGCTAGGGAAACTCTGTAACCAGGGCAAAGCTGGGGGAAAGGTAAGAAATGTCCTAAGTTTTATGCAACGGAAAGTGTGCTATGCAAAGAAACCTTTTTTTTTTTTTTTTTTTTTTTTTTTTATGGTTGCTTATTTTAAACGAAGTATCTTGAAGTAATAGCTTTAAAATTATATTGATGTTGTTTCAGAACATATTTCTAACACTGCTTATGAGAATGATGGAGAATGATCAGCTTGTCTCTGACTCATGATTGTCTCTCAAAGCAGCTTTGTTGTCGTAATTTTTAACAGTTAATCTCTGCAGCTAAATAGCATAACTTAATGTCCTTATCATCTTCTCCTGTTACTCGGTCATTTGAGCTTTGAAGAAGGAAATTGTATATATGATGTAACCTTTTCGCTGCTTGAAGGGGGGAGAAGGCAAGAATGTGATCCCTGGTTTACCTCTAGGGAAGAAAGAAGTCCTGATTGTTTAGTGAGGCTTGAGTGTAAGCTTGACCTGTCACTCACAAACACAAGATTATAGCAGATATTTCCATCCTCAAAATGTAGTGTCAGATGTATCGACTTTCTGGTGCTTGCATAGAGGATTTCACAATGATGTGTGAATGTACCTTTTCAGTAGATCTGTGCTTGCTTCAGAGTTTTCAATATATCACTGCCAGGGTCTGTTTGGTGCCTGGCAGTCCCTGTTGTGGATCATAGCTGTATGAGCAGTTCCCAAAACCAGTAAGTTAAAACAAAGAAACTGTTAATGGATCAGTGTGAATCAGAGCAGTAGGTCTGAGTCAGCAGAGAAAAAAATGATTATGGAATCTAACATCTTATTTGTGAAGACTGCTGTTTAGTATATTATATATCCTGGTATATTGTCCAAATTCCTCCCAGCATCAGTTATTTATCAAATATTTATGGAATTCCTTACTTGTTTTCCACAAAAGTAATATATAATACTGTTGTGTTATTTAAATATACATATATTTTCTTTTTCCCCACAAAAAGAATTCTAACTGTATTTTATTAGAAAATGACATGATTTCTAAATCTAAGTAAAGTCTGGGATATTTGAAGCTGAAAAGTAGATCAGAATTTTCAAGGACACTCATCTAAAGATCATCATCTAAAGATGAGT